AAGAGGACTTTTAGTTCATTCATTAATCACAGAAGTAAACAGGCCATCCAGTGACACCTGGTGAGGTTAATGCCCGGGACCCTGGAGTAATCACCACCTCCCCCACGCACCGACTCGCCGAACCACTCACATGAAAGCTTGTGATTATAGAGGAAATGGGAATTAGCAGAAACATTTCGGAAAAGGCAGTCTCCAGTCCGTTTGGTAGCGAAGGATGGATCGGCGGGAAAAAACGGAGAGGCCGTGGGCTGATTGGAGCCTTCCCTTGAGGGAGCCGAGCGGGGAGAGGCAGGGGGCCAAAGGTCGAGCCTACACCAAATTAGTAGTGTCTGTTATTCGAAACCAAAATAAAGCAGGAGCAGAAGTAAGCGATTTCCCCCCCTCCGATGCTGGAGTGCTTTCTGGGCTCTTTCTTGAAAATTACCGAGAGGCCACATCGCAATTAGTGGTTTGTTTCTTTTAGACTGAAATATGGCCATAATTCATAGCTTTCAAATCATTTCATTGGAAAGATGTATTGGCTAGCCAGGACTGAAGAAGTAATTGTAACACATGATATGGCAATTTGTTACCCCGGCAGCAAGTACACAAGGCATTTGCATAACGTCGCATTAAACGTGGGAGAGCATATAATTAGTTTCCAGTATGGTGTGTAACAGAAAACTGACTGCGAAAGTTATCACACCTCTTCCATTAAAGAAGTATGAGGCACTAAACTTTGCTATACAGCTTGGCTTGTAATGGCTCCAGTTAGTGTCTCAAGTGTCAAAATATGCTTGGACGTACAGTACATTTCCAGATTTTTTCCTGTACCTTACACAACGTGACTGGCGGCCAGCTGAAAGCCAAGGTTGCTCGATATTTTGCTCGAATATACAAACACGATCCGCTGTTTAGAGCCTGTTTAGTACATCGACCATGAAAAATCACTCTCATGTGCGACTGATAAATGTTCAAATGAACGGCATGCCAGGGCTTTGTTTAACTGAGATTTTTAGGCCTAATCCATTTGACATGAGTCATTAAGTTCTCTATGCAATAATTACAGCATCCACGTAAGGTTCCAAAAGTGTGTTTCGATATATAACAGGCTTGCCTTTCCCAGAATGTTGTCTTTTTCCAATGAGAAACCAGAGCATCAGCTTTCCAAAGCATGAATAAGAATTCCTGCTCCAACGCTGTCTGTTGCTCATTACGGATTGTAGTATAACTTGGGTATCAAATATAGAGCATGTTTCCATCTCTGTTACATAATGACCTTACTTTGAGAGCAATCAATCCATTAATAAACAATTTAAAAATCTGATTGCACATGCAGAGGCATAACAAAAGACCTGTTGTTTCAGGTCAGTTATATGATGTCATTAAACTATACAGTCGGTTTAACAATGGTCACTCTTAGAAGTAGTATATCATCCTCTCCAAAACATTCTCGTTTGTTAAAACCTAAAACCCAGAAATGGAATGGGGGGTATTCATTGGATAATAAATATGTGGACATTAAACAAGTTTAAAACTTTTTTCGGATTTTACCTGCATTGTACCTTTTTGCTAAAAAATAATACGAATATTTTAATGTAGTTATACAAAACAATCGGACTATATTACAGTAGTTTATAGGCCACTGAAATCCTCTGATTTTCACAGCAATAGAACTAATAAACACTCTCTGCATCAGTATGAGACAAGAAAGTGCTACAAGACAACTCGATACGAAAGACGTGTGTCAGAAGGATATATCCGGCTCAAGAGGGATGAATAACAAAACAACGCTTTATTGAACAGTGTCCAAATTGTATGACAACAAAAGATTAGGAACGCAAGTATAATTTCGCACAAGTGTGATTTGTAAAGATCTTATAGGATTGCCAAAATCACAGTCTGTAGGAACCATTGTGGGAACTCTGGAGGTGGAGAACAGGTGAGGGAACTAGGAGACAAGATCTTGGAGAAATCTCAAGAGGGTAAATAACTCCGTATAGTCGAGGACCAGACTGTGTGACTGAGATGCGTGTTTAAATTCTATGTTGATGAGCGTGCCGATTAGTTGCAGGTGCAGATGATGAATGTGAGTATGTGCAGGTGAAAAGCAGAAGGAGTGCTGGGAATTGTAGGACCGAGGTAGGACTAGTGCGCTTGTGACAATAGTTAATTAATATTAGCCTACTTGGCTACTCGGCCTACTCGGCACTTAAATGTATAATTACACTGTAACAAGGACAGCTAAAAATAAAGTGAAACCCAACTTTTTCACTAACCCGAATAATTGGACTGATTTACAATGTTTCCATAGATTACATGGATGAATAACATTGAACATTAACAAGAAATATCTTGCTGCTTGAAGGAGCAATTAACCATTTGGAATTAAACATTCCAAAGAGCCGTGTAATAGAGTGCAACAGTCGGGTTCCAGAAGTAAAAATCTCATTTGTTTTCTCTGTTGGGAACTGATCTTTAACCTTAACTTATAAACCTTTAAAGGCAGATCAACTGTGAGTTTCGAGGTTGTTAATCAATTGTATGCTTTTGTTAAAACCATTCTACATTATTTCAATATATTTATAAACAATCATGTGAAAGTCCTGATGAAAAACTACATCCGCCTCCCCAGAGAAACCTCCACCAATTATAGAATCGCAACAAGTAAATTGCGGCAAAAGAACACTTTACCTTGGGATTGTAGATTTGTTCCCTCATTAAAACTGTTAAGTACAGTCTTTTACTTTTGTCTTCTCGTCAGATTTTAGGCAAAAGCCTACTTATTTGCGTCCAATCAAAGTTTGTAGGCTAATGCGGCGATTCAACTCGCAATTGGCTAGCTTAGATCATGGATTATAACTCGTAAACAAAGATCCCCATGGGAAAATACTTTCGGTTACAAGGTCGAAAAAGTGGGCGGGCACTACTCCATTAGAAAATATCAGGCCGTTGGATGGCGCGATTGACCAATCAGAAGCGATTATTCCAGAGAGCCTTGTAAGCAATGAAATCGTCTCCTCAAAAGATTTGGCAGCGTTGCACATCTGCCTGGCTACATCGCGAGAGGTGATAAATAGCAAACTACACTTAACGTCCTCAATAGAGGTTCACTGAGGGTTTTTTATGTGAAAGTTTACAAGTGCTCAGCAATAAATGAAGCCGCAGGAGCACTTTAAATGACAGAAGAAGTGGATTTAAACATCTGCTCTGCAATAGAGATTCCTGAATGCGGCGGAATGAGAGCCGCTCGCTCATCCAACACAGTCATTTTGGCATACCTGGATCTGGCCCAGTCAATGAAGACTACACATTTATAAGAGTTACATTACAGGAATTACATTAGCGGCGTGTCATAGAAACTAATTTACACTTTAAAACTTCACTGTGTCTGGCAGCTACATGTAAGATGTTTGGAGAAGGAATGTTTTGCCAAGAGCTCCTGGCAAAAAAAAAAAAAAAAATGACTGTAGGCCAACTCCGGAATCATTAAAAAATATTTAACGGCACATAGCAAATAGGGCCTACGTGCTGTAAATAAACCTGAGGGTTGCTGTGAATGAATGCAGGTCATTTAGGAAAAATTAACAGAATCTAAAATGATTTAAAAATTAAAAATAAAATTCAGTAATCACAATTAAATTCAGTTTGTTAACATCATGACCTACGAACGCACAACAATTCTTTACAGCATTTATTAATCTATATTAAAGGTAATTTATAAATGTTGTCGATTCATATTTCTTCAGCCTGCATGACATGCTGATTTATAATTGGAATGTTTAAAATCATTATATGTATAAAATAATAATTGTTCATTATTAGCTCCTTACTCTGTGATATTTACTAATGTTAAGAAATTAAACCTTACTGTAAAGTGCTTCCATTCTATTTGCAAGAGTTTATTTAAACACTGTTTTGTTGAAAGAATCTGATTTTGCAAACATTATGGCTTACATTTTAAGCCCGTCAATAGATTGAAATAATCAGTCAGGATTAATGATTTTTGTCAGTTTCTTTTTAAGGAAATAAAACTGAATAGAATAAGTAAGCTTAGTCAGTTTTTGTGGATCTGAGTCGTGTGTGAACTGTGGGTGATATTTCATACTTGTTTAGCTTTGATAATTAAATTCCACCAGACCAAGACTGCAAATGACTCTTGTTAAACATCCCATCTGGATTGAATTTATAAATAAATTAGACATTTGGCTAGAGAATGTTTCTGTAATATTGTCCCCTGAACTGTCAAAACTTTTCATTAATAGCTCATGACGCTACTCAGTGAGCCAGTTTCTCACCCACGGTAATGACTGTTTTATTCAAAAGTGAATAACTGTAATACTTATGCCTTTAATAAAATTAATGATAATGCTAAGTGATACTATAATGTGGACAAGTAATACTATAGTTTGAGGATGGAAATGGAAAAATAGAAATCATCTCTTGTTGGTGTTGATAGAGCAAATAATATAAAAAAAGGGACTAAACTCACTGATAAAACCACAACGGTAAGTAAATGTAGTAGCTTTGTCCATTAATAAAACAGCTCTTAAAAGGTGTTGAGATGAAGAAGTGCAGATACCATAACAAGATATACTGAAAAACAAAGCCAAATGTATTTTGGGCCAAATCTGCTCAAACAGTGCGGTGGGAAATTACTAAACACAGAGAATGAAAATCTAAATTCATGGTCATTGTTTATATCATTCCATAACATGGAACAGATTTCATAACAGGTGATTTATTTCATCTAAGAACTATGCTAAAGCTGATTTTCTGCTGGCTTGATGGGAATGTTATTTGAGGTATATTTGCTTTATCCACTTGGGGAAAAATATCTGAATCGAGAACGTAACTTCACTCGACTCTTCGTCCTTTGGTGACTTCGGAGGCCGTAACCTCTCCTTGTCCTCCAGTATTTCCCTCGATTCAAGAAAATCACTGATGGCATCGCTACTCGCAGATGAGGTTAAAACAGTTAGCCAGCTATCTGCCTGGCTCATTGAAGAAAGCATACTAACCTTGTACGCTGAATTAGCAAAGGGTTTCTGCATCGATAATCATCAATCTTCCATGGCAGCGGGTGCCTTCGGTGCAGGTCAGAGGCTGCCATGTGCAATCAAGAATGAGCTGGAAGTCTTCAGGGTGCTTGGAGAGACTCTTACCAATCCCAGATGAGAGCTTTACTTTGCCTCGAATTAGCTCACGAGTGCGTTTCCAGCGCACCTGCAGGCACAAAGGATAAACCACGAGTGCGTTTCAAAGCTTTAGTATGAAACAGAGCAGAACTCGTTGGTCTGAAAGCAACATTTTTTTTCACAAAGCCTTTTTTAAACACATTTTCTCAACACCTTGAAGGTGACACAATGCTTAATCACCATCACTGACATGCTCTTGTCTAAACTCCGTGGTAAAGATAAAATACAAACCACTGAGCTTCAAAAAGCTGCACGGGGAGGTAATTATATAAGAAAGGTTATAATGTAACTAATGAGGTGGTTTAATTTTAAAAATAATATTGCACCTCGCCTTTTAAAAAAAACAAGCTGCTTATCATAGCAAAGAAAGATACTATAGCAAAAAAGGGGATCTTGACCTTAACTGGTCTAAAAATGCTATGGAAAAAGGTTGTAGAAACTTCAGTCACGGTAAATTAAGCATTCTGACAATCACAAAAGAATTCATGTCTTGACTTTAAACATCTGCAAGCTCCTCGGCTCAAGTTTTCTCACGTGTTTGAAAAGATAAATAAGTCACAACATGTTAGATGTTAAGAGAAAATGAGCAAAAAAAATAAACTAATTATGTTGTTGTCATACCTTCAGCACAGCAGATAATATGTCGTTGTCTAGCCCTAATTGGTTATTTTCTTTTGATGTAATGTTATCAATGTAGTGTGGCAGTAAGCCTTGATTTGATTTTGTTTTGGCATTTAAACGCGTTCCAGACCACAGCATGTTGACCTGATGGAAAGGTTGCATTTTCGACCTAATTTTCAATTATCATTTATTAATAATAAAATGATTTAAATTGTTTATATTTGTTTTAAATAGTTCAGGTGCACTTAAAAAAGTATATGATCAATAAGACAACGTTTTTACATTGATTTAATTCATCACAATAAGTAAATAAGTTCACAAGATTCAACTCATTTTTTAAAGTTGGTTAAATTGCACTTAAATTCCAAATAAGGATATATTTAGTGCTGTCCATGAAATAAAATAGGTTAAAAAAATCTTTATGTTCTCCTTTGTTTTATCGCCCTCTTTTTGAGCATCACTGAAGCGACCTGCAGAAATGAACAGTTTAAAAAACACCTCTTTTGGGTTCTGTTTCTACACGTCAAGACCTACAGAAATGGATCGGTGACCCCCTAACCTAAATAACATTGTACAATAAAGTCATTTTGGTAGGAAATATGTAGCCGAAATGCAATTAGATCCTTATACATCATCTCCAGAGTAGGTTTATCTAAGGGGAGGACAAGGCTTTTGAAACTGCACTCTTGCTGTGGAAATGTCTTCCAAAGGCTGACACCGTGCAGTCAAATGAAGAAAGATGGTGCTTGTGTGGAGCAAATGGCCCATGACCAAGCTTAAACACCAACTGTGGCATAAAACGAGTTGATAAATGTATCATAAATCTCCCCGACAGAAAACCCAGCGACGTTTCATTCATATTTCACACTTCTTTTTTCTTTTTCTATTTTACCTCTAACACCAAATAGCCGGTTGTTAGTCGACCTGCGCGCCAATTAAAGTAGTTATTGGACGTGTTTACAAAAGTCTTTGTGTGCAGCAGTTCCTTCGGAAAGAGTGATTACTCCAGTTCAAGTGTGATCTGGAAAGCATTTGATTAACAAGCTCGATCCCATCCGCTGGAATGAGAGTTACCTTCTGATGCCATGGTCGTTCAAAAGCTTTTCTATGGTGTGGAGCATGGGGTAACCCAAAGGGAATGAAACGCAAACATGCAATTAGAGGGAGAGCGAAGGAATGAACAACAGAGAATAAAACAACCCACATTAAAAAAAAAAAAAAAAAAAAAATTATTGTATGTAGCAATGCCAGAGGTTATGGTTTTCCCAGGCAATACATCTTGCTATTTTGATAAATCGACAATCGTTGACATTGATTTTCAGTGGAAAAGTTTTTTGTTGTGGTTGCTTAAACGGTTTTATCAGAACTACTATGGATTGTGCTGAATTAATCAACGAGATCAGAGCACTTACAAAGCCAACGAAAAGGAAAACGCTTCATTATCATGTGAGGTTGAGCTACTCATAAAAGTCCAATCACATTCACAGAAACTTAAAGTGAGTCACAGCATACAGACATGCCAAGTTGGACTTTCTTAGTGGGTGGTCTTTCCTCTGCTTGATGTGGAAACTGAATTAGCACAGAGCCAATTTCGCCCTCGATCTGGAAACATTTTCTACCTTCCAGAACGCGCTTAATATAGAGACGTAATAAAACACCTTCGGCCTCTGGCGTGTTGTTTTACCAAATAACATCTAACTGGCCATTACTCCCCATTAAGGCTAATGGTTGGACTAATTATGATAATTCCATAAAAGGTGCTGTGTTTAGCCCAAACTGTGGACGAACATTAACTTAATGACTACGGCTGACCTCTCTCGAATGCTGCTGGGGGTGCATGTCTCTGATAGGCTATTAGTCACTAGCATTTTGCATTATCCTGTTTATGTAAAAGCCCCCAAAGAGCTGTACAGTCATTCTCGTCTAGAGGGTTATCAGATCGTTGCCAATATCGGTTTCAAAATACAAATGAGGTGGATTTGCTCTCTGAGCCGCAGATCTAGCAATTTTAAGTAATGCTTGAAGAAAAAAAAGAAAGGAATATTTACCATGTGTCAGCTTGTGTCATTGTAAACGGCAGACTAAATAGGTGTTAGATAAGGCTTTCCAAAGACGTACCTCTTTCACTGGATTATGGCGGAAATCCCCTCCACACCCTCTGAGTGGAATCAATACTGGAATGTCAAACACTAAGAAAGCCTAGTCGTGGATACCTTCATGTGAAATAACTTGCCTTTCCAAAGAGACAACCGTTAGATTCCGCAGGGTATATGTTTTGTCTTATTGCCGAGGCACTGGACACACCGCAGCTCATGAACGAATGCATTAGGGCCGCTTAAATATTTTTCTTTGCCACTTTCCCTGCGAATTCTTCGAGATCCTTTCAGCAATCAGGAAGATTTCCGTAAAAATGTTGTCATTCTGCCTCGGCTAAACGCTCGAGTCGTGGCACTCTGCGGTATTCTGTTTTCATAAGAGCGGCGGTATCGGCTGTTAAAAGTCAGGGCACAGTATTAATTGTATATACGAGCCGCTGGCAGGCATGCATTGCTGCTGATTAACACTGGGTCTGGAACCAAAGCTGTTGTCCCAGGTGCGCTGTGTTTAGAAAGGGACTGGATCCAAAATGAAATACTTTTGCAGAGGAAGTCCATCACAGCCCGTGCGCTGGCGAGCCAGACCACATTTAACCACTTTTGGTGCGCCTCCGCTTCCTCAATTTCATTGTTAAAAGAAGATTTTTGAGAGAATGATCAAGGCCAAGAAAAGATTAAGCCAGATATTCAACTAGGGGTTTTCCTGCCCCGATACAATCTCGTTCTACAAGCCAACACATTCAGAATGGTTTTAAGAATTTATAAGGATTATGATTAGTTAGTATCAGTCATCTAATCTTATATGTTTAGTACAACCTGAGACGCTTTACTGTTTGTATCACTTTGCAGAGTCTAGAATATGTGAGCTATTTGAAAGCAGTGTGATTTCAATGGTTACATCCGAAAGCTGAGAAAAGCTGCCTTCGGAGGATGAATTCCATGGCAGGAAGGTGTCAAGGCATTATTTGCTTCACTTCCTGTCTCCCGAGATTCCTTCATTTGATTGATTTTTGAAAGCAATATCCTTTTCTGACTTTGATATCCCACAATCCTTAAAGCTACTAATAAATAAAGATGGCATCTGAAAGTTGCAGTTGGGGGTGATAGTTTCTGTAAATGTACATCTTTGACCAACATTTTCCACTTTTGACCTCAACGTACCATGAGAGCGTTTCGAAGTCGTCTGCTCTCGCGGTACCGATCACAGCAAATTCAAGTCGAACACACCTTTTCTCTCGATTCTCTCACCAGCGAGCAATGAATGGGAAATGGAAAACCTGGAATGGAGCTTGAAGGGCAAAAAAATAAATAAAATTAGTCTTTTGGAAGAATTTATCCACGAAAAGGAAAACCTCTTCTAGTTCAGTAACATTCACTTGTATTAAAACAAATCTTAATATCTTACGCAGTGTTGCTTTCAGGTAAATTTCTCTTGTTTTAGAATTTTATTATTATTTTAACTAGAAAAAACAACTTGTAAAGCTTGATGCTTTGGCTTAACTCAATATCCCACTCTTAACCATGCTGTTATGATGAATATTCAGTTCCACAAAACTGCTTTAATATACAGCATGGCTCTTTGGTTAATTAAAGGATACATAAAACTTTTTACGTAGTTGGCGACCAACCAAGAACACTAACACAATAAGCATTATTGCTAATGACTGTCTAAGAATTGGGGGCTACGCCATTGTTCGGTTGCACCATGTGCTGTCTCTGCCTTCAACAGAGCTGCCAGGATCATGGTAAATGGTGTTGATTAGAGCAACTCTGGTACGCTGAGCCAAAGCAGCTGCTTTGATTCTGACTGATTGCTGGACATAGGGAATTAAATGAAGTATTCACTTGTCAGGGAGTGTTTGGTTGACTACATGTGCACTACATTATTACTTTTTTTAAGCTTCACATCATATCCTTACGGATGTCTAAAGTCATTCTGTCTGTCATGTGAGAGTTCTGATGTCCCTCACTGTAAAAAAAATATAATTTTCTTATAAATTATAAGTGTATAATTTTCTTATAATTCAACATACCGTTGTCAATTATTGCAAATATATATTATTAGACTATTCTATAGACTACAGTCCCATTTAAACTGAAATTATGAGTTTGTTTGAGAGCATAGAATCGTGACAACTACAACCTGCAGTCAATGAATTTGCATGCCTATATCTGACTTAATTAGTCCATAAAGGAGGGCATCTGCAGCTCTTTACAATCAAATGGACTGTATACTCAGTGTCAGGTTGCTTGATGAAGTGGCAGGGAGTTCTGGCTGTCAGTCTAGGAACTGCAACACATTATTACTTCA